CAGTGGGTGTGCATCCTCTGAGAGTTGCAGTGAGCACACACCCATCAGAAGCGTGATCACCATGCCATGGGCCTATTTGCTGTGCACATCACAGAACTTATCTAGGCAATGGATGGGTGTGCATCCTCAGAGAGTGGCAGTTAGGGCTGCTTTCTGATGCAGTCTTCGATAACTTTTTGCATGGCACAGATTTTGGTTAAGGCTAGATACCTTGCTTCCTGCAGTGAGATCTTCCCACTGGTTTTCATCATGTGGATCAGCCTCAAGATGACGTCCTGGATGCTCTCTCCAAAGTTTTGGTGGCGCAGCTGCCCCTAGCTATATAAAGACACTATCCCCTGCACCAGAGACTGGGCCTCCTTGAAGATGTTCTGGGTCTCAGTGGGGAGTGGGAGGCTGACATTCTGCCCCAGTTCCTTGAGGAGGCACTCCATCTCCTGTGCCATCTGCTTCCTGCTTGCCTGGATGTCTCCTTTTCCCTCCTTATCCAGAGTCTATTTCAAAAAGCTGTGTCATCAGAATCCTCTCCAGTTTCTTGTAATTCTTGTCATTGACAGGCCACTGAAGCCAATGACTTGCTGTTCTATGTTCCTCACTTCCTTCTGCATTTGCTGGAGCCTATTAATAGAAGGGTGTTGGTTTCCCATATCCATACTTTGGTTGTGTTCAGTTTCATAAGCACTGTGCCACCCACAGCATGGTGCCCCACTGATTTCCAAAAATCACTTTTGTGCAAAGATTATATAACAATTGCCTTCCAGCGATATACTTGTCTTATGTGCTGTGCTGTTCCATCAGTGATCCAAACATGTTTCTGCTCATTGGTTAACTTATTGTATCTTGCATTTCAACAGACAGGAGGGATTTTTTTTTGCAAGGTGAAAGTTGATTTACATGTTGGAGAGGATCCTTCATTAGCTATTCTTTCATGTAATGATGTAATTCCAACTTTATCTAGTTTAGCTCTTTTTATATATCATTTACATTTAATTATACTACATTACTATGCATGCCCTATTTTATGTTAAGCAGTAATACTCATATCACTGCCATTACAGGTATTCAAGCATAGGAGAACTTCATGTGCAATTGTTAATTGTTTGGTTTCAACTAAAGCCCAATATGCAGCCAACAGCTGCTACTCAAAAGGGGTGTACTGAATGCCAAAAGCAATACATAGATCAGTGTGATCCCAATCAAAATATCAAATACATTATCTCATATCTGGAAAGAAAAGACTGTAAAATTCATATGAAATCACAAGAGACCTTGAATGACTAAAGCAATCATAAAAAATAAAAATAAAGCTGGAGTCATGACAATATCAGGTTTCAAGACATAGTACAGAACAGTTATAATAAAAACAGATTGGTATTGGCACAGAAATAGACATGTGGGCCAGTGCATCAGAAACCCTACAAAATAATCCAAACATCTACAACCAACTAATTTTTGACAAATGAGCTAAAATTGCTCCCTGGAGAAAGGACCGTCTCTTCAACAAATGGTGTTGGGAAAATTGAATCTCTAAATGAAAAAGTACAAAACAATATCCCTACTTATTAACTCTAAACCTAAAGGTCTGATATAAACCTAAGGCCTGAAATTATCAAATTACTAGAGGAAAACATAGAGAAACATTGAAAGTCATTGAAGCACAGGTAATACAGGCAAGAACAGGCAATGAATTGTATCAAGCTAAGAAGCATCTGCATATCAAACACTCAACAAAGTGAGGAGGGAACCAACAAAATGGGAGAATATATTTATAAACTATTCATCTTAAAAGGGATTAATATCCAGGATATGTAAGGCACTCAAGAAGCTCAACAAAAAGAAAATCCAGTTAAGAAATGGGCTAAGAATATGAACAGGGATTTTTCAAAGAATAAAATACAAATGGCCAACAGCTGCATGAAAAGTTGCTCAGGATCAATGGCAGAAACATGCAAATAAAAGCCACAATGAACTGGAAGCTCCTGGTTCCTGGATTCAGCATTGCCCAGCCCCAGGCATTGCAGACATTTGAGAAGTGAACCAGCTGAGGAAGTTTTCTTTCTCTCTCTCTCTCTCACTCTCTCTAGCTCTGCCTTTAAAATAAACAAGAAGATCCTTTTTTAAAAAGATAAAAATATATAAAGTGGTAAGCATATACAAAGGTAGTTTTTGAAAAATAGTACATTAACTTGCATTTAAAATGTAAAATAAAGGAAAATGATGGAAATGAAGCAAGCATCTTGGTAATTACCAAGAAAGCCTTGAGGAAAAGACACTTACATCTACAGCTACAATCTGGAACTAAAAAATTAAAGTTAAATTTATAGTCCTCTAGAATTCCAGAAAAGCTCAATTGCATAACAACTGAGAATTGAGATGACTGAATGGGTTAAGATAGCTCTGAGAATTTGGGGACATAAAATATTTGCAAAGAGAATTTAGATGATTTCCATCAAGTTGATATTACAAAAAAATGCCACCCAAGAAGGCCTAAATTTAATAATAGAAGGGTTGGCTTATAATAGGATATTGATGACATTAACAGGTCACACAATTGAATTCAATGCATCATCAACTAAAACAATGTATATTTTATAACATAAATTTTATTTAAATAATTGTTATTAGAAGGCTGTGCTAATATAGGATAAGCATTAGAGTGATTAACAGACATAAAGGTATTTGGTGAACAATAGTCCAGTACATTATTTACTATCAGAAAAATGTTTAAATCAAGAAGGTAAGTCAAGGAAAGTGAAAAGAAAACTTAATTTAAATAAATTGATGAAGCCACAATGAAAAGGTTAACCATGATAGGCTATGGTTCTCTGTACAAGGATTGGCTTACACTACATTATTATGTATACATATATACATATATTCTATAGTATACACAGAATTTAAAAAATACATGTTGTTATTTAACCTATATTCTGATTACTGTAAGTAGCAGTAAGTAATAGTGTAGGGACAACAATAGCATGACACATATATACAAAAAACTGTGTGAACCATTGTGTCTTAAATATGCACTAAACTTGATAAGTGAAAGGAAAGATCAACAATGGTAAGTAAAGAAAATATCAAGCCCTTTACCAGAAAAACCTTAATGAAATCTACTCACATCTATAGCTACACTTAAAAATACAAATTATCAAAAGTTTGTTTATATGCATAAACCACCAGAAAAGTTAAGCTATATCACCTGGAAAAAGAGAAAGATATTATGGGCCAAAAATGGTTTTGATAAACTGTAAACATAAAAGTGGCCAAGAAATTTATCACAATTTTGAGTATGTTGAAGACCTTCCAATATAAAAGTCAAGCAACAAACTGATAGGTTTAGTCATAGAATGGCCTTCCATTAGGTTACGATAATATACACAGGTGATAATAAATTCAAAGAAGGGATGGTATTTTGTCATAGTGGGTTATACCGCCTCCTATTATACCAGCATCTCATATGGTGCTGGTTCATGACCCAGCTGTGCCAGTTCCAATACAGCTCTCTATTAATAGCTTGGGAAAGCAGTTGAAATATGTCACAAGCACTTGTGCCACCCATGTGCAAGACCCTAAAAAAGCACCTGGCTCCTGCCTTTGGCCCTAGCTCCAACTATTGTGGCCATTGGAAAGTGAACCAACAGTTAGAAAATATTTTTGAGATTTATTTATTTATTTTGAAAGTCAGAGTCATACACAGAGAGAAGGAGAGGCAGAGAGAGAGAGAGAGAGAGAGAGATCCTCCTAGCGCTTGTTCACTCCCCAATTGGCCATAATAGCCAGAGCTATGCTGGTCTGAAGCCAGGAGCCAGGAGCTTCCTCCAGGTCTCCCACATGGGTGCAGGGGCCCAAGGACTTGGGCCATCTTCCACTGCTTTCTCAGGCCATAGCAGTGAGATGGATCAGAAGTGGAGCAGCCAGGACTCGAACCAGCACCCATATGGAATTCTGGCACTGCAAGTGGCGGCTTTACCCCCTTTGCCACAGCGCCAGCCCCCAAAAAATCTTTTATCTTTGTCCCTCTCTCTGTGTAACACTTTCAAATAAAAAATAGAAAAAAGAAAAAAGAATAAACAGAAAGACAAAATTTTCAAGAGAGGTGTATTAGTTACAGTAAAAACTATACTTTCATTACTGTGAATACAATTCGGTTACTTGATAATTACAATAATAATGTAACAAGCACATCTAAGAGATTTTTGTGAAAAAAGTTCATTACTTCTACATTAAAAAGAACAAAATAGCAAAGTTTTCTAAAAAAAGAAAGAAAAGAGCAAAATTAAAGAATAGAAATAGAACAAAGATCATTCAAATAACTAGAACTTTAAAGCAGATGTTTGTATCTAGAGTTATATTTTTAAATTTTACACATACATAAACAAATACTAATATATATTATCTATATATTTATATATTATTTAGCATCAGGAAAATATAGTTTGGAGTTTCCAGTTTCTGATTACTATGAGATTGTGGAGTGAAGCACTAGATTGTAACTCACACTGTCTGCCATTTGTGTCTCTCTACCAGTTTTTAAAATTAAATTAAAAATAAATATAATTTTAGGATAAATATCATTTCAAGATCCTCCCACTTACTCACATAATTGCCAGGACATGTACAGTATCTAGACCCCCAGAGGAAAACTAAAATAACAAAATCTAAGAAACCTTGTCTCAGAGTTCTATAAAAAACCAGAAATGCATTTATATATTTATATATAACTTTACATATATTTATATATGTATGCATATATTACCTTGAGGTGAGAAAATGATTAACCTTGACTAGGATAGAGCTAACACACTATGTACATAGGTTTCCAGGACACCTATAGAATGTTGGGAGTGAAAAGCCCATGAGAGTATTTCAGGCATGGAAAGCCAAGACACTCTGGCAAAAAGATCTCTGTGAGTGAGATCCCAGTGGAAAGAACAGGTCTTCAAAGAAGGAGGTACCTTTCTCTGAAGGGAGGAGAGAACCTCCACTTTGACTATGACCTTGTCTAAACAAGATAAGAGTCGGAGAACTCAGAAGGCTTCCATAGCCTTGGAAACTCATGACTGGAGCATAGGGAGATTACTGATGCCATAGACAGGAGTGTCAATTGGTAAAGTCAACAACAGGAGTCACTGTGCACTTACTCCTCATGTAGGATCTCTGTCCTTAATGTGCTGTGTATTGAGATTTAATGCTATAACGAGTACTCAAACAGTATATTTCACTTTGTGTTTCTATGGGGGTGCAAACTGTTGAAATCTTTACTTAATGCATACTAAACTGATCTTCTGTAAAAAAAAAAAAAAAGAAATTATCAATTCCCAACTTGACTCTCACTGGGATTAAACATGACAATAGGTCTGATCTGATTTCATCATCATTTAAAAATCATCTATTATTTTTCACTTTATGTTTCAGTGTGGGAGCAAACTGTTGAAATCTTTACTTAATATATACTAAGCTGATCTTCTGTATATAAAGAGAATCGAAAATGAATCTTGATGTGAATGGAAGGGGAGAGGGAGTGGGAAAGGGGAGGGTTGCGGGTGGGAGGGACGTTATGGGGGGAAGCCATTGTAATCCATAAGTCGTACTTTGGAAACTTATATTCATTAAATAAAAGTTAAAAAAAAAGAAAAAGAAAAAGAAAATTTAAATCATCGTGGCCACCAGTTCAAGAGCTGGGAATGGTCTAGAATAGATGATTAGTGAAAAAAGTGAGCTCCATTAATTCAAAGATGAAACAGAAAATTAAATTTCCAAAATGAAACAAATCAAGTTCCATAAAAGTCTTTAAAATCTAAAAAAAAAAAATCTCTGCTAATGAGATTGATGGACCTGACCCAAGATTATACTCAGAAACTGTGAAAGAATGAGTATTTTATTGTGAGCCATAAGTAAAAGACAAATATACGGATTGTTATTTGGTGGAAAATAGTCCATAATTAACTTGAAAAATTATACCATGACAGAGAAACGTGCTTTGGAAAATTTCCAAGATCAGAAGTTAATTAACAGTTCCAGGAACATCCAGAAAAATTAGCCATATATCCACTGCTGATGAGAACGAAGGTACTGTCCCTAAATTGTGCTCAAATCCACTAAACCTGACAGCATTAGGACAACTTCTACCATTTAGAGCAGGTTGATGACCACACAATGATTAGGCAAACTATGGTACCCATCATTTTTCTGTGTTATGATTGTAAAAATCTAGGTTATTAATTATGTATTTAGGTGATGTTAATCAATTCTAAGGCATATATTTTAGAAAAATTTTATTTAATACATATAAATTTCAAAAGTACAACTTTTTTTGATGGCCCATTCATTCCACTGGGATCTCATTCACAGAGACATTTCATTTAGGCCAGAGTGTATCTTGATATCAGGGTATCTTGATATTGTGAAAGCCTACTTTATGGTGTAGCATGTAGAATTTTGCAAAGATTTGAGGAGTGCTGGAGCAGAATGAGAATGTTATTGAATTGTTCAAATGCTCTATATTTTATATGTATGTACAGATATTTGAATTTGTTTTTTAATTTGATTTTGAGTTTTTCTGCTTAACTGCTTTTCAAGAGAGAGCCTGACCCTAACCTTGACCCTAACCCTAACAGCCCTAACCCTGACCCTGACCCTAACCTTGATCCTAAATCTTAGCCCTGAGCCTGACCCTAACCTTGACCCTAACCCTAACCCTGACCCTAAACCCTGTATATATAGCCTCTCTTACTGCTATCCCTATATTCTAACTCCTATAGCTTTTTCTGTCCTCACCATTAATTCTAAACCATTTTGCTAAATCTTTATCATAAATCATCACCTTAATAGTGTCATCCACATTTTGATGTGTCTGGCATATGAATGATCCAAATTTTAATCACATTGTGTTTCCATGTATTCACCCTATTCAGATTTTCCAAGAGCTTGCCAATGTTGCTAAGAACATAGTCTTCCTGTATCATTGGAGATCATTAGTTTTAAGAACTCTGTGTAATGAATTTAGGTCAACAGCCCAACACCAGAATGTAAGATGTTTCTAGCAATTTTCTCTCTAAGAACATAGAAGATATTTTGTAATTCTGTATCAAGAACTGGTGACAGATACCAAATATGATGGGATCTTCAAAAGTTTGTGGGACAATGGAAGTAAAACATATTTTCTCTAAATTTTTTGTAGAAAAAAAATATGTTAGTATGTCAAACCTGTGATTTAGAACAACATCATTTAACTTGTTGATGAAAATGGAACAGTGTAATAAATAAATAGCTGAAAACGCAGCTAGTTTTCTCAATGCTGGCATGAGCAATTTTGTAAGTAAGTGGGGAAGGTTTGGATGATACCTATTATGATGAGCGAGAGTCCACTGATTGGAAACAGCATGATAGACTCATGTTTAGGTCATATACAGACAGTTACACATAGACATCTTTAAAACTAGTTATGTTTCGGTAAGTTGGAATACACATACGTTTTTGCTCTTTCAGTTGTGAGGGTCAAGATACAATGAATACATTAGGTTTCCAGATATAAGTTTTTATACCATTCTCTAATAAAAGGAGCCAGTGCTCCATGAAGAAATGGCTGATACTATGTGTGGAAGTAAATATGTTAGGTAGGATAATCCTGAAGAATTAAATAGTAAGGAATTGGTGGGAGTGGGGATGGGAATGAAAGAATTTGCAAGGAAAGCAGGAACAAATGTCAGATCTCTCAATGGCAAAGGTAAGAATGTACAAAGAACATCCTGTAGAAGTATATAATAACACAAAGTAATGATCCTGGCATCCATACTGTTACATATAATCAAATAGATTTTTATAATGGGATTGAATAGAAATATCTTGTGGAGAATTCCAAATACTTGATATAGACACTCAGCCATCTAGGAGATAGAATTAACTCCCCACTCCTTACGTGTGGGCATTGCCAAGTGACTTCATTCAAAAGGACACAATATGGACATGAGGAAAAGGTACATCCTGTTAAGAAACTGAAAACCCTCCCTTGGCCAGGTGATCCTAGTTAGCATTAACCTGATCATTCACCTTGAGAGCATAAAGTGAGAACACTTCACCTCTGACATGCTTCACCAAAATTGCAACCACAGTATCATTAGGAAAAACAACAAATAAATCCCAATAGGGGACATTCCAGAAAATGCCTGATCAGATTCCACAACACTGTCAGTGTCATCAGAACAAGCGAAGTCTGGACAGCCAGAAAGAGCCTAGGAGACCTGAGGACTAAATGTGTGGGATCCTGAGTCAGGAAAGTTAGAAAGAATAGAATGAAAACAAGTTGTGGGCTCTGTTTAATAGCAGAGCAACATTTGATCTTTGTTGATAAATGATGTAAGATGTTAAGTCACTTGATACAAATGATACAGTTAGTAACAGGAAACTATGTTGGGGCTACATGGGATATCAATACATTCTCTGCATTATTTCTGTAGCAAACAAACCGAAAATTGACACTTTATTATAAAACAGAGTTTTCTAAACATCTGCTTAAGTATTAACTGATTTCTAATATTGAAATAAGGCAGTTAGTAGAGAAAAGCCTGGAATTGTGCTTAAAGATCTCCCTCTGGAATAGACCCAGCAGCGGACGGGCCCGCAGTCCAGCGCTGACTGATCTCAACCCAGTTTCATTCTACAGAGCCGACGCCTAGGTGGGAAGGCAGCTCAGCTCACCTCGCAGTTCAGTTAGCCCAAGAGAGCCAACTGGGTTCACCCAGTCTAAGACGCCTGCAGCGGTAAGAGGCGCACTAGCTTTGCACCTGTCACAAATACTCATGGTGGAGATTAGACCGATGTTCTGAAAAACAGCAACGAAAATACTGAATCTGCCATTAGCACGACAGAAAGCAAAACTTAATTTGGAGGCGTCTCTCCTGAATTTTTGAAAATATTTAAAAACCAGCTTTGGACAATCACCGACAGCTGGCAGGGCGGAGTCTCATCTGCTTCGCCCGCAGAAGCTCACAGGGAGGCCCCAGGAGCCGGTTTTTCATTGTAGACTCGAGTTCTATAACACACAAAAAGACAGTGTTTACACTTACTGTCCTGTTCTAAGTTTTAATAATCTACTTCTCATTACTTTCTGCTCCTTTAACACCGTGCGAACCGCGAGTGAGCGCAGGTGTGCGGGGCGTGCACAGGCCCTTGCCCATGGCTGGGGCTCAGGGGCGACTCCGCCTTCTGCCGCCGCCCTGCCACCCGACCTTACCAGGGACTCCAGAAGCGGAGCTCCGTGTTTCTCCTCCCTGTTTCTCTGCGCCAGGATCCCCCGGAAGCAGACCTGGGACCCGTGCGAAAGCCTCGGCAGGCTATGGCAGCGGCGGCTGAGCCCAGTAGAGACCCCGGGCTGCTCCCCCGGGAGGGAAGGTCTGCGGGCTCCCTCGGCGCTCAGTGCGGGCCCAGGGGCCTCCTCGCACCTCCACCTCACTCCCGCACAGTTTCCTCACCTTTCCTCGCTCTTCCTCAGCTTTCCTTGCTCTTCCTCAGGTTGACTCCGTCAGCCCGGGCCACGAAGGCCTCTCCCTGGGTCAGTCCCAAGGAGAAGGAGACCCTAGACGGAGACATCTCGCTGGAGGTGGCCCCGAGAGAATGAAGCTCCGCCCCTCGCTGTGGGGACGGCGACAGCCCCATGGGGATTTGGGGTGCATCACGGGGGTCCAAGGACGTGGGTCAGGGAGACAGAGGGCACTTCCGGGGGGGGGGGCGGTGCGCTCTGTGCGCCGAGGCCGGGTGCACCCTGGCGGCAATCCTGGTAAACCGGAAAGTCACTGCTCTGATTTCCCAGGTCTTGATTGGAATCCATGAAAACAACCAGAGGCAAAGCAGATTTGCAGTGGAAAAAAGTCAATTAATTTCCTATATGACAGTGATAATATATAAAGTTTGTAAATTTAAGACTGAAATAGGTGTTTTTTGTAAAGCAATATCATTTACAATTACACAGCCTAAATTCAAAGCATGATTCAAACTATGAAGTCAATCCATCCTAGCACTAACTGTAATCTGATAGCAAATACTAAATAAATATACTATGAAACTCAGACCATTAATGGAAGGTTACACATCTACAATCTTAAACTTTTCTTGATCTATATCCAGAAAAGAATATAGTTGTCAACCCAGATTTCAATTTCAGCCCTAATCCAAGCACAACCTTGACCAGAACATAATCCTATTGTTCCTTTGAGTCCTGGCTGGGACATTCTTGAATGTATCATTTCCATCTAAAACTTGAACTCTTTTCAGCCTGTCAAATTTTAATGGTGCATTTTATGATTGCCCATTAGCTTTTAAGTTGGCAGCATCACATGTGTCATTCTCAGTTTAAGATGCTTAGTCTTAAGTGCCCAGGTGCAAGGAGTTGCTATTCAAAAAGGGCACATATCTTGCAGGTACCTTAAACAACTTCCAAGTGCAAAATAAGAGAGGCTACTGCATCACAGTGATAGCCTTTGATCCATCTTGAGTTGATTCTTGTATATGGTGAGAGGTATGGATCTTTGCCAGCAAACATTTGTTGAAGGGATTTTCC